AATTTTAGACATTCAAAAAACATGTTCAAGAAAATAAGTGTAACAGAAATGCATATAGTGAGATGGATGAATGTAAAAAATAAAAGGGATGTGGTTATAACTAAAGTAATTAATTTGAAATAACTTATAAATAGCTCTAATAAGTGATAAAATGAGAAAAAACAAATCTAGTCATATGCATAGAAGACGATCTACAATACACCCATAAGAAGAAGAGTTAGAGGCAAACCAAAAAAGTCATATATTCAACTAATAAGAAACAATTTAAATGCTCATAATTTAACAATGGATATGCTACCAACCTGAATGAAATGACGAAATAGGATTCATACGGCCAAAACCATATAAGTTGGGTTGGGGCTTTAGATGATGACGATGTGAATTTAGAGTTTCAATAATAAAATTGGATTCAAATGTGATTGGACCGATCCAAATCCAACTAGATTAAATCCCTAATCGGATCCATTACAAACATTAGCCTGGCATGCATTATTTGTTCAAGTGCTTGACATTATATGTTGTATTTATATGAGATTCATATTTCATCAAACATTGCTAAAAAGGGGGGAATTTTTACCGAAACCCACCCAACAAATTTTATTTTATTGTACATTTATAATAATTTAAAACTTATGATACCCCATTTATGATATTATACCCCTTTGTATTGGCATCAATTCTGCCATTATCATTGTTTTCAACTGTATGGTGAATTAAAGATTTGTAAAACGGGTAAACAAAGAAAGTAAAAGAGTACAGGTAATGTAGTCAACAAGGATCACCATTTAGAGTATTTTTTATCCCTTAAGCAATAACCACCGTTTAGAGTTTTGAGGAATTGGCACGTGAAATCATTGTCAACAATGGGATTACAGAAAAATCTAGTCCAATAGAGAAGCTATCTTCACTTCACGATTAGAGAAACAACAAACATTTGAATCTAATTAAGGGTGATTTGGCCCGACCTAGTAAAAAGGGGACATGTGGACACGACATGACTAAGAGATGACAGTTTAGCCTGATATGCCTAGTTCGCAACAGTTGAGCTCGGATATTCAACCACCTTGGCACAAGGTCACCTCGGGGCAAGGTCACTTTGGCACAAGGTTACTTCGGGACAAGGTCACATCAGGATAAAGTCACCTTGGCATTCAATCCAGTTCGGAACTAAAAAGTATCAGCTCAGGGATATCGACCCGGACCACTACGTGGCGATCCCGGAAATCCCTCCAACAGGCCCCGAACCTCACGGGATCACACCGCGTAACGGCAAGCCTTATCTTCTCTCCACTCGGTTCGGGTGGAACTTATAAGTTTTATTAGTTGATAACGTTATCTCCCAATTAAAGCGGAAACGGATTCCATCGTGATGAAGATCCCAGAACCGATCCGCAAAACCGCGAGGATTCAACTATATAAAGGCTCCGACCCTAGTGACACAAGGTACACGTGATTTTTCTGCTTTCTAGCTCTCTAGCTCTCTAAACTTTCAAAGCTCTTCAGTTAACATCAGATTACTAATTTAAGCATCGGAACAACCTCGTTGGGTTAACCACCCCAGGTTCTTTGATCTTGTCTTATAGATTTACCTGGCTCGTTGTCTGATTGGAAACCAAATCACCTTCCAGCAGGGAGTAGTCAGATCGTGCTACATCAGAACCCATTTGTATTTTACAACCAGATAAGAAAACTGAGAAGCTGCACTCTAGGCAATCATCAAGGGTTTGAGGAAGTTACTTTCAATTGGAATTTCACGAGCTATTCTCTTTTCAGATGCTTTAATTGTTCTTGGTAAGATCAAAGGAACCATGGGAGTGAACAAGCCCTTTTATATTCAGTATCTCATCCCTTTTTTTTTGTAGAATTAAGACCCCATTTGGTTCACGGAAATAAGGGTTTGGAATCGGATTTCGATTCCAACTGTTTGGTTGGGTGGAATTGGAATCCCATTCCATTCCTAATGGAATGGCCTTTCCCCATTTGAGGGAATGACTATTCTCTCTCCCTCCCTTGGGAATAAAATCCCATTTCTGCTGATTTCAATTCCCATTCCTGTCTGAATCAAATAGACTATGGGAATAGACCGTTCCAGTTGTGGTTCCAATCCTGATTCTAACTGTGAACCAAACAGATCCTAAGATAGTTTACGTAAGTAGAACTGATTATGTAAAAAAACGCACATATAATGGCTAGATTTGCTGGATGTAAGCGATCTTTTGTTGTTATACCCCCTTTTAAGTTCTCATTCTTTTTGTTGTACAAGGGGACTGTTGATGTCCTTAATGTTTTGAGTGGATCCTTTACATCACAACCCTGCATTTGGAGCATCTTCTCATGAATGATAAAATCAAATCAAATATTAAAGAGGTTCTCAATACATGCTCAAAATACTATGAGGTTGGTTGAGAATCCGGATTTGTACCCTGATGGGAAGGCCTAATCAAGTCAACAGGGATTAGAGTGAGTTGAAAAAGAAGGGAGACCCGATCTTTATTAAGAAACCCAAGTGGTGTTAAATAAGACAGAGACCACAGTAAAACTAGTGGAAGAAGAAGAAGAAGAAACCTGAATAATTGTGTATAAATCCATGTAAGTCGCAACCAAAACCGTGCAAGGCACGCCCACTGCTCCAGCTGAGCAACCCAATGGAGTGAAGAAATGGGCTACCACCAATACCAGACCGGATTCCCAAATCCCACGTTAACAAGAGATCGGTAATGGAATATGGACCGCCTAATTTAAGTATATTAATTTATATTTAATATTTATTCCTGAAAGTGAGTGGCGCTACAATTCGACCGACCAGTCCAGACATCCAATCAATTCGTCTCTATGATCCCATCAATTTCTTTCTTTCTTTTTTTTTTTTTTTTAATTTTTTCCTTACATTTTTTTCGCCACTGATGAAAGTGATGGTCTCATCCAAGTTGGTGGGAATGATGCTTTCATTGAGGTTGAAAATAAAAATAAAAAAGCAGAAAAAAAGTCTTGCCTTCAACTTGAAATAAACATTCCACCGTCTATGACTATCTGTACAAAATAAGTTAAAATAAAATATTTCAGTTTGGAATGTTTTAAAGACAATGGCAACGTTCAATGATGGAAAAAAGAGACGTTAATACATTCAAAGGGGGCATTCCGAGAATTGAACTCGGGACCTCTCGCACCCTAAGCGAGAATCATACCACTAGACCAAATGCCCTTGCTTGGTGATACTTAACTATTGTTAATAATGAAATAAAATTTGTCCAAGAAGAAACTTGGAGACATTCAGTGCCCACAATCGATAAAGGAAATAAAAATTGCAAAATATATTACGATATTTATATTTACTATATTCAATACTTTAATTATGAAAAAATCCGTTTCAATTTAGAAGATTCTCCCAAAATCATCTCAAGTTGTTCAGCCAAACAAGCCACTTTAGCCAGAACATATATGTGCTTTATTGAGGATCAGCATGAGACTATTTTTCTCTTCTTTTTCTCAAGGAAAATATGTGATACAAAGAATGCCTATTTTATCTATAACCATTAGTACGTTTGTCTACCCACAAAAATAAATAAATAAGCACTTTCTAAAGTAATATCAGTGTATTTTGAAGAAGCATGAATCAGTATTTTGAGGGCCGGATCAGGCCGGCCATATTTTATCCCTAATTCCACTTTGATAGCAACCATATCCACATACAAGATTTCCGACTACCCATTTCCTTTGAGGTTTATACTTGACACCGGGGATTTGTAATTAAGAATCTGAATGCAAATTAGGTTATATCTGTGTTGAGTTACATTCTTTGCGATATTATCAACGAATTTTGATCAATAGAGTGGTAAAGGAATCAAGGATGTTATGATGATTGCAGAGAATTGCATAATTATTGATGAAGGAAGATTTGGCCCGACCTTGTAATCACTCGACACGTGGCGAAGGCAACAACTCAGCACGACAGCACACCCAAGACGCGAGCTCCGAAACGAGGAACCAGTGGTCGGAACTCCCTACAAGGAGCCCGAACTCCCCGTAAGGAGCCCGAGCTCTCCCTTAAACCCCAAGCCTTGCAAGCACAAAGGGCAACGACCCGAACTGGCCTGCCCCATGGCAGTTCGGGACACACCTCTATCCGAACTCAAGACTTCACCTCGCTCACCACTCCAGCACTTCACCTCCAGGACGCCAAACTGAACAAACCGTACCACACATGACACCGAGGAAGTCCGTACCTAGGGGCAGTGCACTTGACTGACTTGGGATCTGACGCTTGACAGCCGCACTCCAACGACCACCTGCCACCGCCACCTGCTACCGCCACCTGCTACCGCCATCTCCAGTTGCAGAGACGGCTCTGACAAAGAGAGCAGTGGCGGTTCTGTCCCAGCAGAGGTGATGATACCCGAACTGGTAGGAGCGCAGGGATAATCATACCCGACCTGACAGAAGCTTAGGAGTAAGTGCGCGAGGTGGTTTTAAAAGGCTCCCTACCCCCCAAGAACGAGGTATGTGAACTTTGCGCCATCTGGTTTTATCTTGCCTTCGAGAATACTAACTTGAGCTTTGGAGATTCCCCACCTTTTTCTCCGTTTCAGGCCCCCTGTTGCTCTAGTCAGAGGCAAGGTCATTGACAGCTAGGACCGGCCGGATTGCACACCATTAATTACCATAATAGAATCTATGTTATTACTTTGAAAGCATTTGTCATCTTGTGCAATAGTAGAGTGAGTTGGTTCAGGTTTGAGGCCAACCCAATTTACAGACTCAAGCTGTGGCCCAGCCTAGCCTGAGGGCCTATTGGGAGCCCAAAAAGAAAGAAAGCCCAAGTGCCCGACTGGCACAAAAGCTCTGGTTTAGGTCAATTGGTTGAAGTTGGCAGGTCTCAAGTGAAAATAATCTTACAAGGTGTCATGCATGAGACAGATCAAGAAGGTTCTCATCTACCAAGTGAAAGAACAGAAGAATACTCGGCACATTCTTTCTCTATTGAAATTTTTATCTAGTAAATATGGCTTAAAATTGGGATAAAATCTTTTCACCCATGTCTCCATTCCCATTCAAGTTTCAACTATATATAATCAGTAAGCTTGAGCTAAACTTCTACTGATACATAGTATTCTTTACATTCTAAGCAAACAGACTCAACACCCAGAAGGCTACTCTTTTAACACCATTTCATAGCTTTTACTTGGATCAATTGAACTTGGAGCAAATTTTCCTGATCTCTCCTTGGGTTCCAGTCTTCACTTCGATGCTACTCATCTTGATCATAGCTTTCGGAAACTCAAAATCAAATCTCAACCCCAGCAATCCTCTTATGTTCCCTGCATAATTTTGCACGATGGTACATGTTGCAGAATCCCCCCAAAGCCTCTGGTCCGACTCTAGTACTCCATTGCCATCCTGCACGTTCTTGAAGAAACTAACGTCGAATTTGGTCTGGCTGTCTTTGTCCAGTGCTACACGCTTGGAGCCATCGCCGTTCTGGGGACACAAGGCTTGTAGTTGCGCTAAGAATGCCTGGTTTATGGTTGGGTCTGCATTGCCGGTCGCCGTGAAATTGTACAGACGGTACCGGAAAAACAAACAATCAGTTTGTCCAATTGTATGTCCTCCTGTGCATATAGATTATATATCAATTAACGTGGTACGTACACATAAAAGGATTGACAGAGAGAGAGAGAGGGAGAGTTGTACCAACTAGAGTGACAAGATCATGGTCGTCTAAGCCTTTAGTAGCAAACTTCTGCGTCTGGGTAGCAATGGGATCGGCCGGAGATGGTAAATTGGCAGCTTCAGATGAAGAAGAGATCCTACCATCTCTTCTTCCGGTCGGTACTGACCAACTTGGACCATCGCTCTACATATGTAACAAGAACAACCCTTTAATTAGCAATTTCTATAGGGGTAGAATCTCTTGACCAGAGAGAGAGAGAGAGAGAGAGAGAGACGAATTGCTGTTTTACCAAGTCGACAGCATCACGAGCAGCTAACGCCAGTATATCAGCGCAGGAGACCACATCAGGGCACAGGGCCTCCAGTTGTGTCTTTGCATCATCAATGACTTCAAAGCCTCTCAACCCCAGATTTGGCAATGCGTTCCTCTCTGCAGAAGCCCCCGTGATCAAAACTGATCCATCGCAGCCCTGTGCAAAGCATATATCATTTAATTAATTCGTATAGCTTTAGCCTTAGCATATTATATATAACATCTACACTTGTAGGTTGGACCGGCTAATTATCGGTGCTTGCCCGACAGTTGGTCCAACCAGATAGAACCATCTGCCCCACTGCCACTGACTGGGTCAATCTCAAAAATTTATTGTGTGTGAATATTCATGGTTTAAGTGCATGAAAACAATAATCAAATTACTATATATTCCTCCCCAATGGCAAGTAGAGAGAGAGAGAGAGAGAGAGAGAACCTGAACAAAACAATCATGGAAGTGTAGCCTTAGCATGCCAGCTGCAATGGTGGGATCCCTGTTAAAATGTGTTTCAACAGTGGACCTAACTATGGCCTCAGCCCTTGGGCAAGTGGAAGAATAAAAGTCTGCTTTCAAGCCTCCTTGGCCTTGGGCTGACAAACCCATAAACAAAATCGTTACAGAAACCAAAACGATGAGTGTCATTTGCTCTAATTACGTACTTGCGGCTTTTCTCTCTTTGAGTCTTGGCCTGATACCTCATTACCAACAACTCTATCGACCTAGTATTTATACTGATCAGCTTGCTTGGTCACTTAACCTCCTTTATCTTCTTTATTTCATTCAATATTGGTCTCGTCACCTTCCCCTTGTAACTAGTGGAGACGTGTGGGCCATTTGTTGATGGTATATAGTGATCCTTCTTTTGACTTCGTTGTTATAGATTGAAGAGTTGGAGTTGGATCTCCCTCTTAGTAGAGTTTTAATTTCAAGAGATTATTTATATATTGGTGGCCTCTCTCACCTTTTATCTTTTGATTTCCATAGCTTTATTCCTTTATATATACGCGTAAAGGGTCCAGTTTTTCTATCTTTTCTATGCTGTGTTCATACCAACTTTAACTTCATGAACTCGCAGAGGAGTTTATGATGACACACGCATGCAGATATTAGATCAGGAAATAACTAAAGCTTGAGAGTTGAGAATACTACTTCCAATATGAATTCAAGCTGTGAGCTTTGTTGGTCATGGCACCAAAGCCAGACAGCTCGCATTCTCATTGTTGAACTCTTATTTGTTTGATAAAGCCTCTCTTCTTTAACAAGGCACAATTCAATAAATTCATGCAGATCAACCAGATATATACATGGAGACAAATACCTAACTCGATCTTGTTTGAGAAAAAAAATCCCCATCAACTTTTGAGCGGAAAAGAAAGAAGATCCTCATCAAAACTGATTGGGTGATCAATGAATTTCGACAGTACTGAGAGGTCACAAGCAATTAAACAAACCCATATAATATGGAGTTGGTTAAAGCAAAGTGCATTAGTTCACTGTCCATTCTAACAAGTTGACACCAAGCCGGCCGGTCTAGAGTCACTAGACCCTGTTCATGGGCCGGTTGAGGTTTTGCCAAAATTTGAATGGGCCCGGCTCAAAGCCCACCCAAAGCAGTGTAAAATGTTCATGGGCAAAAATTTTATGGCAGCTGCTTTGGGTGGGCTTTGTCAATTATATCTCTCTTGTCCCTATCCAATTGTGCACCTATTTATTTGAAAGACAAGAACTTTTTCCACAACCCAATACCTGAAAATCCTCCATCCCCCAATCTTCTCTTTTGTTCTCTACACAGTATGAATTACGAACCACAACAGAGGACAGGGGATATAGGCATAAAATAACCAAGATCTCAAGCCACCACTCTGGACAGCTCTGCCAAGGTCAGCAATAGGTCCAACACTTTCACAGAGAACAACAATTTGCAGCAATAACTCAATGAAAAAGAGAACAAAAAACTCGAACAACATTTCTTATTGAGTCCCACTTCAATAGCACTCAATTTGCAATAACTCATTAACCAAACACTGAAAATTATAACAACCAGGAGAGAAAAATATAATCTCAGAAATTATCTTAACAAAGAACAGGAAAAGCAAACCTCTTCTGCTCTGATTACCATGTCATATGTCAAATATTACTAAAGAAACCTCAAGGAGACAAGAAAAAATAGAAAATGTCAGCCTTTTGTTACCAAAAAATATTGGCATATCATGGTGAAAAATTTCTTCACTTGTGCTGTTTAGATTAATCTCATTTTAGTGAAAATTTAGGTTTCAAGTACATGACAACAACATATGAAAAATGTCAGGTGGATTTGTTTTTGACAAAATTTCAAAATATTTTCCCTTAGCTCTGTTTGTTTGATCTGAATCAAATACAAATTTTACACCCAGTTCAGAGTTGCATACGTTTATTGTAAATTGTCACCATGATTTGCACTTCTATCTGATGCAAAATTTGCATTTTTTCTGTCAAATATGTACTCATTTGAAGTGAAAATTTTGCATCCTCCTACCTAAATTTTCTCTCATATAAAGTGGAGATCACATTGTTTTACTCCTTATTTTAATCCTCCCAAACAAAAACCTTTCTCTACTTTCAATATCATTAAAGTAAAATAGGGTACCACATCGTTCTATTTTCCGTTTTACTCCAGACACAAAAAATAAAAAAAGTCTAACTTGAGACGAAATTAAACAAGAATTTACATTCCCATGTTTGGGATTCATCAAAATTTCGGGTATAATATTAAAACAATAAAATCAATAATATATAACATATTAGCAAAATAGTTATAATATATAAAACTTTCACCCAAAATTCTGAAATTTTAAATCTTCCAAATCAAATATCAAAATGGCTAATTTTTCAGATGGAGAAAAAATTGGGATGCTTTATTAGGGCTAACAATTTTATGAGATAAAAAATAGAAGAAATATTTAGGGAGAAACAATTAAGAATGTTTTTGTTTTTTGGGTAAATACAGTTATTGTCTGCATTAGCTTCAATGACATCTACCTTAGTTCCCATAGTTTAAAATTTAACATCTTCCAATTTAAGATTTAGGCTCCGTTCACTTTTCGCTAAGTTATTTACCTGGGTAAGTGCATTTACTCATGTTCTTTTATTTCTCAGGTAAATAAATGAATAACTATTTAGCCATAAAAATCTATTATTAAAAGGGGCATTTTTGTCCCATCCAAGTGTTGGCAACTTTCCCCCATGTGGGAAAGTTATTTAACCACCTGGGAGATCGATATCACTTACCCAAGAAAATAAATTTTTCCTATTCCCCACATAAATCTGAAAAAAGAACATAGGTTTTTTGGACCTACTTTCCCGCTTTTAAAATAAAAAAAAGAACGCCCTCTTAATACTATATTCCAACCAAAGTTCAAAATTTGTCACGTATTGTTATGCATGTTACGCATCGGCTGAAGCTTTGGAGGTTTGACTTATTATGAGGGTAGACAGGCCTAAGGCCCACCCCTGCCCTGACCTATTTTTGAAAAAAAAAAAGAACTAAGGCTATGCTTGGTTTGAAGGAAAAAGTAAGGAAAGGATGGGAATAAAGACAGGAAAATCAACACAAGATTTGTATAGGTTTCCCTACCTTTCCCTTTCTTTCCTTACATTTTCCTTCGAACCAAACATAGCCTAAAAGAAATGATGGATGCAAGATTCTAAATACTGATATACACTTTGCGTAGTACAGGACATGAATATATCAATACTTTGGACCTCGATTGCAACTAATTACAAATATAGTTATTTACCTTATAGTGTGCTTCCTACAGTATATTTCAGTGCATTTATATATCTCCCGTATTTGTTACGGGGAGATATTCCTAATACACAGTTAGGATGTGCTGTAGAGTATGCTATGTGGGAGCCAATGCCATCCTGAATGTGACATGAGGCAAATCTTTTGAGTTAGGCTGTTGACTGAGATGCCAAATGAAAGATTCCGATTTTACCTAATGTTTCAGTAGGTTATCAATTCATCATATCATTTATCTTAGGTTTCAGAGCACATCTACACCAATCTGCAACCATGGTCGCAGCACTCCCTTGTGACCCCAATGAAACACGAACAGGTCATCAGGTGAATGGCTTTTAATTTCCATTGCTATCGTGCCCATGTTTCATTCGGGGGTCGCAGGGAGTAGTGAGACCACGATTGCAGCAGATGTGAATTCGTCCGAAAGCCGAGTAGTGACTAGTGAATGATGCCCTAATGCTAAGACACACAGCTAGAAAAAAATGGGACAAGTTTAATGAATCTATTGCTACATTTGAAAAAGATGCAAATAAGTGTGAATGTAAATATGTAGTGTAAAATGGTTCATATAAATTGTAATATTGGGTTAGTTTTGCATTGACAAATTTACCTTTTATCAAACAGACTTTTAGTTGTAATGGATGCAAACATGAATTTCAATAAAGCATATGCTTTTTTTTAATCAAAATCCCACTTGAATGCAAATTTACTTCTTTTTTATTGATGTACTTTTGGCTGCATTTGGAAACGATGCAAATAGAGTGTAAATCCCGGTTCAGGGTAAATTTGCACTCTGGTTCACTTTTACTTGTATTTGGCAACATTACATTTATTTATTGACAAATGACGGACCATACATATTTACATTGATAATAAGATATAAAAGTACATCAATAAAAAAGAAGTAAATTTGTGTTCAAGTGGACTTTTGATAAAAAGAAAGCATATGCTTTATTGGAATTTATATGAAGGTAAATTTGTCAGTGCAAAACTAATCCAATTTTGCAATTTATATGAATTGTTTTACTCTCTACATATTTGCATTCACACTTATTTGCATCATTTCCAAACGCAGCCTTTATACATTATTATTAATGTAAATATGCATTGGTCTGTCATTTACCAATGCATAGATGTAATATTTCCAAACACAGACAAAAGTGAACCAGAGTACAAATTTAAACTCCATTTCCATCGTTTCCAAATGCAGCCTTTTATGTTCTGTGTATTCTTCTAGTTGAATATATGTATTTTTTGATAAAATTCTATTTTGAAAACCGAGTGCATATAATGCAGAAAGCATACATCTTAATGCTGCTTTTGGGTTGCTACAATCAACATGGAATAACCATGGGACCAGTGATTATTCTAGTAGCAAGGGAAAAAGCTTAATTGAGGGTATATAAGAGAGGAAATAGGTCCAAGAATTGGATCACTTAGATTTCAGTGGACTGTGGATGAGTCCAGCAATAACGATAAGGTGATCCCAATTCCTAACTGTCTATTCAATAACGATAAGGTGATCCCAATTCCCAACTGTCTATTCAATAACGATAAGTTGATCCATTTGGACTGCCTCTTCCTTATTCTCATCATCATCTATAGGGTAAGGGTTATCCCATTAATACAATCATTACATAAGGTTAGGTTTCAAACATCGAATTACATATGTTCAGTCATTTTCTGGCTATATTGTAAGGCTATTTCAGTTAATACAAGATAATTAGGGATATATTCATAAAAAAGCTTATGAATAAATTGTAGGTTGATGTGGGTGGAGAGAGGATTTTTTTCCTTGAGGTTGTTTCTGGAGGAAGGAGGGTATCTGTGAAGGAAGAAGAGAGAAGTGGAAGGGAGGGGGCGGGGGAAGAGATTTGGAGGATGAAAAACGAAAATGATACATGAAAACCCATTAAATGGATTTATTTCTATTAAAAACTCAGGAAATTTGGCTTATAATATTAAAATAATGAAAAGTCAATAATATGTAAATACTACATATAATATAAAATATTAACAAAATATCTAATTAAAATATATTAAAAAATTCACTGGAAAGTTTGAAATTTTGAAAAATTTTATTTTGGATTAAGTTTACAAAGAATTGTACAGATCCCATACTGATTGGTTACTCAGCCAGGTTCACACATTTGTGCTCGTAGCAGATCCTGTCACATTTCAAAAATGGCTGAGATTTGTTCAAATTTAAAATAAAGAGAAATTTGGGAGATGCTATTAGGGGATACAAGGTTTAGGGGAGAGAAAAATGAAAGAAAGATACATTTAAGAATGCTTATATAGCTTCGATTATATCCACCTCACATATTGATGACTCTTTTAACTCCGAAGTGATCTTAATAGTATACAGTTATACACAGACACACAAACAGACAGTAGATAAATAGGTATGGACAATGTGACGATTAAGAGTAATCCTTTTGTGGCTGTTGGTTGAGATGCCAAATGAAAATGAAAGGCCAGCATTTTAGACTTTTGGTTGAAGACAATTTATAGGTTGGATTGACCATGCATGTCTTCATGCTGCTAAATATGCTACACATTGCGACAGTAGACCACCAGAGTTTAGTTTAGTCCTTCCAATTCAATTGATTCAAGTTGTGTTACTATCCAATTTTGGATATTTAATACACCTGAGAGTTCAGTCGTTCCAGACTTCCGATTGGCTTGGGGAATCGTTAAACCATGACCACAACCAATGCAGGGCATCCAGAAAACAGCTTTATGAATTTTAGAACTGCTTGCTGAGTTGTTCATGTATACAAATGCCAAATCTCACACAGAAATTATCTACTATTGAAGTTTAGTCGAGTTGTAATTTGAACATTTACAGCAGCTCTGTGTTAGCACCTAATACATGTAACCAGACGTATTACAGGTAAAGAAAAGGGGAAAAAAGCTCAATTAGCAATTGAGATACTTCCCTCACCCAAGCAAATTTAAAGAAAAAAAAGTAAGAAAAGCATATCCATCCCCTAGTTTTTCCCTCTATTCGCGGCTATTTCGCAGCTTGCTCCAAAACAGGAATTTTTTTCCAGGTTTCCTCCAACCCATTATTTTGTAATGGCGGCAACGAGAACACACTTACAGTAGAACTTCCACTTCTAATCTCCTTCAAGATCCGAAGGGCTGAAATGCTGCTCTTCATGTACAAGCTCTCCATATACTCAATCTCTGCAAGTTCCTTGGGTCCTAAAAGCAGTTTGCCTTTCTGGGTTTCAGCTGGCTTTGAGTCACAATCTTCAACCACATCAGTACCTTCACTTGGTACAGATGGCTCATTCTTGGGGAAGAGGTGATCCAGCATTATCTCGCATTCTTTCACCAGCTTGTAAAGCAAGTCTGTGGTGAAGAATGGCTGTTGCAAGACTTTCTGGATGAAGGGCAATCGGATAAGAGCACCAGTTCTCTTGTCGTACTTCTTGAGGATCTTTACCAATCCTGTTTTATACAAATTAAAACAAAACTCGTGAATATGGATATTTAATCAAAGTAAAGCCCTTTGCATATAACGTTTTATCTCATAACATTCCAAACCCAAAGCATCAGGCAAAGTTAAATCAATCTGGTGAAATTAATAGTAAAAGGGGTAAAAAATATGTTGAGTACATTCCTTTGAAATCCTAAAATGGACTCATTTTCATTTAGCATTCTAATAATGTTTCTGGTTAGATTTTAGACAACAAAGAAGACACAGTAAAATGCAAGAAAAAGAGAAAGAAATCATTTTATTCTATCTAATTCCAAACAACCCTCTAATAACTATGCCCATTGCCCAAGGATCATTAGTTCTACCTGGGAAGAAACCAAGTACTGATCAGGCATGAAAGTAAATTGTTCTACTATTTGAGATCCATGTCAAACCGAATTGGAATAGTATCTGGATCATGATTCAATCCATGATAGCCTACAATCCACAAAGTTCCAATTCTTATTCTTAGCCCACTGAAAAGGATGGGAGATTGAAGACATTATTGTAAATTCACGTGATGACAATCACAGAATACCCACGACGTGGGTGCACTATCTTTAACACCCTGAGGTCTCAACATACCACTTGTATCCCCTAAAATATTCTCCATCGTGGTGGTAATGTTTTTTTTTTTTGAGAAATTTTTATTGTCTCCTATGTCCATTTATTGCACGTTGAGCCAAGCATCAGTCCTTGTATGTATCATAGTGGAAAGTTAGTGCTACAACATAGCCAATGATCAGCTTTGGTATACGACAGTTAGGGGGCGTTTGGTTTTTCTTTCTTCTGATTTACGTGCATATATGTAGTCTGAAGCCAAGACTTAACTCCATCAGAATCTACTAATAACATTGTATTGGTCGATTCAATTGCTAAAAACCGACCTACATAGAACAGTACTTTGGTAATGACTAATTCAAACCACCCCACCCCCAATGTGGATGATAGAACTCATAGAAGTAGGGAATCTATTGATCACTTTTGACTATTCATTTAGTTTCAGTTGGCCATCGAATTGAGTACCTTAAATCACTAAATAAAATACTTGTAGCAAAGGATTCGACCCGAGGGAAATTTTCTCTGCGGCAAAGGATGTGAAGGAGATGGGACCCATCATAGTTGTTACCTCTATTCCCTACGCCTCTTGTTTTTTCTTTTAATTCACACCTCATGTTTGGAACCCACTTGTAACCAATAATTCTTCCTCTAATAATAACAACTCTAGGTCTACCCTCACAAGGAACAATATAAAAAGAAGAGAAAAGAAAAAGTCTCCACGACTCCGGAAAGTGTTAAAAAAAGAAAATTATATTCTATTCTAGGAGATAAAAGAAAGTTCCACTTGTCTTCAGTCATCATCTATCTGTTAAAATGGTCTCTACACGCATATATGCAAGTGGTTGTCATACAGGGTGAGGGTCTCAATTGTTGGACCATTTCAGAAACCTATCATGAGTCATGAAGTTCCACTAATCCATGCCACAATTGATAAAGACAAAAGGCCGTAATTTATACTCATGGTTAGGGGTATCTTTGTCCATACGAAGAAAGAAGGGATTTGTGTAGTTCAGGGCGCTGTAATTTGTGTAGTTCAGGGCGCTGTAAAGACAAAAGGCCACAATTTATACTCATGTTGAGCAATCTCTTACCGGTGTAGTTCAGGGCGCTGTAATTCTCCAACAAGACCATCTCGCCGTGGAAATCAACGATCTCCTTGCGTACTTTAATCATCTCTTCATTCGAATCCTTTGCCTTTCCTACTCTATCCTGCAACTCCTGCAAACAACAAACAAATCCAAAAATCTGTCAAGTCCACTATCGGCTAACATGCTGCATCGTTTACAGAGTAATCGTTAAATCCCCGAGAGGGCATTAAAATTTCCGACCGAACATAGGAAGGTGCACATCGGTCCATCCGGAAGACCACAACAAGCCAATATGCACGATCCAAGTGCCAGATCTTCCCCCAAAACAATTTGAAGGTTTTGATTAGAGAGAGATTTGGTTCAGGTAATTTAACGTTCATGATGCGCTACGGTGAAGACAAATTGGAGCATAGAACGATAAATAAAAACATTTTCAAAACAATTTCCAGAATAGTAATAAACAACAACTCGATAATTTCTTAAATTTTGCATATAAGGGAGAAGGGAGGGGGGAGGAGGTAAGAGACAGAAAAAGTACCTTTAATCTAATAATGTATTCTTCCTCCTTCTCAACGAAAAATGAATTAAACTTCTCGAGCTCGTCTTCTAACAAATAGATGAAATCCCTCTCCTCTTTAGTCATCACGCTCGCTTCCTTCTCTCCGGCATCGGTAGAATCCACGGCTGTAAATTTCTGCCGCTTACTACTCTTCTCACCACCTTTCGAATCAATTAGCTTCAGACGCTTCTTCAATTCCTTGTACGAAAGAAACTTATCTCTCCACTCAGGCAACGTCTCCTCGATCTGATTGCTCAGGCTCTTCCCGAACTTCATCTCTCTCCTACTTCTCCTTCCGCGTTATTTCCAGTAAATACAGAGAATGTGCCGAATTGGAACAGCTCCCGGCGAAAAGCTGACGGAACCTTTCAGAAGAATGGACGACTATCGGACGGCGATAATGGAGGGGAGGGAGAGCGGGGGGAGGAGGAAGGAGTCATATAAGAGATTGATCAGAATATTCGGCGCGAATATCCCATCATTCGTAAAGACGAAAAAGAGGATATTTCGGGTTTTATTCCATTCGGTGTGACCGCTGGAGTTGGGTTGAGTCATGAGTGAACTTCTTTACTATATGCGCCTTCGGACTACCCACGTGGCAAGTCTTTTTTTTTGTTGGCTCGAACCCGAGCCGCTGGCTCGTGGGTGACAGAGAAAAATGTTGAGAAAGCAAGAAGCTGTGTGAGGTATTTTATACACGTATAAAACAACAAGGCTGGAAGCCCACGGGAAACATGAATCGGTTGGCTAGTAGTTGCAAAAGGACAAAGGGCCCCACTAGGTAGATGGAAATCTAGACGGTTCATTTGATATGATCTGCTGTATTACTTTCGTCCGCAAAGGAAGGCATCTGTGAGATATTCTGTGATCTATTACAAGTTGGATTTTTTTTTATTTATTTCAAATGATAAATAAATAAATAAATAAATAATTTATCCGTGTTGCCCACTTCATTAACCAGAAAGAAGAACGAAGAATGAGAAACTGAAATTAATTCTTCCACGAACCAAGCACAAAAATGGAGGTCCCATGGCACACCTTGGCAATAGCAACTATCTATCGGTCTAAGTTCAATGTTTGTAGTCTAGTTTAGGCATTACTTGGTAGGATAGTCAATAAGCTATCGCTCTTGTAAGCTTCCCTTTTGTGAGAGTTGACCTCAAGATGCTGGTTTAGGTGTTTTTGGAGAATTTCATATGAATTATTCAAAGGAGATGAAGCAAATAGCAACCCTTTGAATGATTAAAGTGGTGTTTGGAAGCGTGATTATCTGGTAAGGCAGACTGTCTCGGTCCACACCACGATAGGTTGCAGTGTGACCATTCCCTATTGTGGATTGGTCCACATTATATCGCATTGTATCATCCATGGTAAAAACTTGAGGTGCAAAATAGCAGCTGTGAATCTATGCTTCTCATTTACCCTATTTTTAATTATTAGGGTCAATTAATTTTGTATAGTTTTTATTATATAATTTTATATAATGTTTTGTTACTTTATTTTTTATTAATTAGTTTTAAAAATAAGATTTTTAATTTTTTAATTCCTCCAATAATTTTTATTAATTATATATCTTATTATTATAATTTTATAATTAGTTTTAAAATAAAATCCTTAATTTTTATTATTTAACTGTAAAATTAAAACTTTTAATGTTTTGCAATTATTATTAAATAGTTTTATTATTGATCAACAATGTAAATCATCTCACATGTTGTATATAAGATGCATGAAACCAAAACACATAATATAGGCTGAACTATATCACACATTGCATTATGGAGTGTGATGTGATTCAATCGTTTTGTCCATAGTGTAGAATAGCCCTTCTGTTGTGACATGGTGTAGAATACACCGCCCAATTTCTTATTTATATTACATAACACCCCTTAATTAACAATTAATTTAAAACATGGCACATCGGTTTTTGTCTTTCTAAGATGGATCTTAAAATTATTTTTGGTGAAAAACATGAAAAATCAAAAATACTCTTTCATTTAATCATTTTTTTGGGTGAAATTGGTTTTATTAACTTCTTCAAAGCAAGGTTCAAAGTATCGATCTGTATCGGTGCTTTTTTTTTATGTTTTATTTATTTTTTTCAAAATTGATCTAGAGGGGTCGGTTTAAGTCCCAACTACCCTCTGAACCAAGGTCTGACCCGATACAACCCTTAAAAGGACGCATTAGGAAGCCATCGGCATGATACTATCGACCAATACGAGTTGATACATGTCGATACTTTGAACTTTGCTTCAAAGCAACTGAGTAAAAAGCATCTCAATCAAAATTGAAGTTGAAGCCATCTGGTCTCAACTTTGAAAGTTTGAGCGGGCTCCAATTGGGAAGCTGCATTGCTTTGTGCTATGCTTCCTATTCACGTATGCAATATGAATCTCCAAAACAATCACAATAACAGAGAAATGAGACACATTTAGGCTATGTTTGATTTGAAGGAAAAGGTAAGGAAAGAAAGAGAAAAACAAGGAAACCAATACAATGATTGTAAAGGTTTCCCTACCTTTTCCTTCCTTTCCCTATATTATCCTTCAAACCAAACATAGCTTAAATGTGTCTCATTTCCCTGTTATTGTGATTGTTTTGGAGTTTCATACGTGGATAGGAAGCATAGCACAAAAGCAATGCAGAGCCAGTTCAAGCTTTCAAAGTTGAGACCAGAGAGAGAGTCAGAGACTACTGCCTCTGCTGTAAGTGAATGGAATCTCAGACTGAATTGTGGGTCCCAATCCAAAGGTACAGACCACAGAGCACGTGCATCTAAGTTTTCTTGGGCCCAGTAGCCTACTTGATGCGGCACAATTCTCTTATAAGCCCACTGAGGAAACTGCTGAGTTTCATTACAACGTGTACATACGTGTCCATGCATTTTGATTCTTAATTATATAGTGAAACAAACCTAAGTTAACCAGGGCTTGACCGGGTTCAACCGGAAGTCAGGCCTTTCCAGTTCCTTTATATATATATATGAACCACCTGGAATATGGTAAAACCAGGACTTAACTAGTTGAATTAGCAATCTTTCATATTTCGTATTTCTTAATCCAACCAAACCGGTTGAACCGCTTTTCGAGCAGCAGCTGTATAGTGTGATTTCACACAATGACTACGTTCATATGTTCCATTCTTCCAAATTCCAACGGTCTACAGCACGTGTTACGAAACATGGAGCTGCGTAAATCTTACGGCTATCCAGATTCCAGAAGCAGCTGAGCTGGGCAGCCACGGCTCGAAGCTAGCCAAAAGACGAGCCAGAAAATTTGAGAAACTGCTCAGCGGTCAGCGCGCTATTAGGTCCAGCTATGGCCCATGGGTGGTCGCTTATAATAATGGGCTAACTGGGAATATGCTGTGGTTTCTTCCAAATATCCGCCTTCACAAGTCCCAACGCATGGACCTTTGATGTAACAACGCTATCGTTGTCCCTGTCTTACGATGGGACGTCCTTAACTTAAAGCCGTTAAAACAGAATCTTCTGTTGCCTGGGCTCTACCGTTGGGATTGTCGTTTCTATCGCCCACTTACAAGAAAATTGGATCCAACAGGCTCTGTATCTGGGCTGCAATCTTGACCATGTAGCCTCTGTCTATTCTATCAGTTTCAAAAAACAGAAGATCCAGATCTTCTTTATTGCTTTAGGAATATCCTATTCTGTCACAACGTATATTCTTGTTCTTGGTGGAAATTAAATTTCGAGATGAGATGGAATAAGAAGCAAAGGAAGACATGTAAATATGGAACTCTGTTGCTTCTTTTCCTTGCAGCGGAACGATGACTGTGATGCAAAAGAGTGACTGAAACAACTATGGCACATGGTAGCAGGACAACGATAGATGGTGATGTGGGTTTTCTTACTTAGAATGATTTGAGGGCTTTTCTCAAAGGATTCACTGATATTTACCATTGGTTTTACACTTTTCATTACATTTTTTTGGTTCAAATTTTGTGTTTATTTTCTACTTTTATTTTTTTTTTCCAAGTGTTGGGAGTTGTTTTTGTTTTCAAAAGTAAAACCATATACTCACTGATAAGTTGAGTATTTTCTAGTTGTTAGGAGGACATGTGAATGCAGTAGCTTCATGATTTTTAGAAATTAAATGAACTTGTTTTGATTTTTTTTTTTTAAATTCCTCATCACAGATGCCATCTAAATATATTGATTGGTTTCATATATAAAATCCAATGAATGCTAGATAAGCATAAGGTTCTTTACACTATCAGAAATGTTACTACGTTGTGGCAATATGTGCATTCATGTTTTAAAGTTTTTTTTCGTAAATGTTGTTACTTTTATTATTTAAAGAAAATTAAAAATGGTGATACCAATTATTCCTAAAAATCATCCTTTTTTTTGAAGTTGTGTAAATACTGATTTGAGTTAATATTCAGATTTTATAAAGTTTTTAGCTTTCTAATAATGTGCAAAAATGCATTATGGTTAAATATATTTTGTAAGTTTTCCTGTGTATGCTCCAAATATTTAGCCTTTTCAAGTGGAAAAGTATATCTTACAAATTGTAAATATTTTGTAATATTTTGGTGTTCCAGTGGGCTTAAAAATTACATTTCAAAATATCTTTTGTACGCTTTTATTTCTTATTTTTAACTTAAACTTCAAGTTTTTTTTTGTTTAATTTTTGTTGGGTATTGTTACAGTATGTTTTCTGTTTTTTTTTTTTTCCTTCCAATTAGAATTACACTTTTCATTTTAAAAGGGTATGCTTTAAGGTCTTGTCAAAATTTGTAAGATTTTAGATTTCAAATAAGGTAAAAAAAATACATTTTCAAAATTTCTTGTATAAACATTCCTACAAATTTTCCTATTAGGGGGATGAAGTCCTTTGTGGCATCTTTTTACTTTTCTCTTTCACTAAGATTTTAGTGTGCAATTTTATCTAAAAATTGTGGATTTATTAGTTCAATAATATAAATTTTGTGAAAAAAAAATTATTATTTTTACCTTTTAATTCCAGTTTTGGATCCTAGATACATGTCATTCCAAAAGCCTTTGCCTGATGCCAATTTTGCAACCAAGTAAAGAAATGTGGCGCCGTGACAACGTGTGAATGATACATTATCGTTTTCGTTGCCAAGCCGGAGCCTTTGCCAGTTTTAGGACACATTGGAGCTAGCCGTGGCGCCGCCGTTGCACTATGGAAGCTTAGGTTAAGGGGAAATGTATTTTATTTAAGCTACCATCGCACTATAAGCTTAAAAAGTGTATTTCTCCACATGTTGTATTTCTTTTGAATAGACTGGTAATTTAAAAAGAAAAGCACTGGAACCTATTTTTTTTTTGTAAATATTTTATTCCTTTTTAATGATTTTGAACTTTGAACTGCACATGGAAATATCTAAATTTTCTTTGTAAATAAAATAAAATTGACAAGAGTCAAGCATCTAATCTCAAGCAATGGAAGCTTGGAGCCTAACTTGTTATTTTAAATTAAAAAGCAAATCATTTACAAAGAATGGTCAAACAAA